TATGCGTTTGCAAGAGCATCGCCCGGTCCGGCTCAGCGGGGTCTCGCTCAGAAGTGTGAAAGCTTTTGCCGGTGAAGGTGTGTTATACGATCGGTCCATAAAGAAGTGTTGATCGGTTCAAAATGACATAAGAACAGGTTCTTTTGAATAACCTATGGATTGGCACCATGGTTCAATATTCAATAGTGTTCTAACTCCAAGCTGTGTTGTATTCCAATAGTACAGCTCACACAGCAATCGAATTCAAACACATGGGGGCCGGAATTACAAATTAGTAGAGTTTGAAGCGTGGCTGGAATTAGTCTCACAAAATGCCGCATTTAGTCACACACAGCATCGGAATATAGGAATTTGGTAGGTTTGCATTCTAAAGGCTTTTAAATAAATATGGCAACAGTTTGTGACATTTCATTGGTGCTGGCGCATAGTGCGGTGTTTTGAGAAATTGAGAGTAACGTAAAGCAAACAGAACTCGAGTTGCGCATATGGTGATTTTTTTTATAGCTATTCATTTTTTGCTACGTCCTTAATGTGTCGGAATATACGGTACCGCATTTACCTTTACCCTATGATAATGCTGGTCTACTTATAAGACTCAAGAATGGCCCAGTGGTTGAAATTCAGAGTAGCAAGATTGGAGCAGAGAGGCGTGGGTTCAATCCCAGGCTATTATTCCCTGCTGAGCCAGCTCTGTGCGCCAGTTTCTGGTCAGAATTGGCAAGGAGGCCGGGCAGTTAAGCACAGTAGAATTGTAGCAGTGAGTTGCGTGTTCAAGCCCGCAACAAGCTGTGAATGTTCTGCAATGTTAAAAATGGGCAACAGGCCTCTGGAGTCCGGCCTAATAAATACTAACACCACTATACTATATTATAGTATGAACTTGTCACTTGAGAACATGCCATTGCCACTGGGCACTGTGATTGCCACATGGTGTAGTACTCTGTAGTAGTAGTGTAGGACTGTAGGTATGTGCAGTGTGCAAGCTTGGAAAACATCTACCTATAGGGCCGCGAGTCCCGCGACTAAAGCTTTCCCGCCATTTCTGGAACCACGAGATTTCTGCCAGATGAATTACCTCCTATCTAATTGTTAACCAAAGTGCACAATCAGGCCGCATGATTCCAAATATATTAATATTTTGTCACATTGGAACCACAAGATTTCCAACAAGCATAAATCATGCACAAACATCAACAATACTAGCAAAATAGCAGACAGACATTTTCTCTTTCTGCTTTGATTTTAACATTTGATTTACAAAAAATAAGAGCTTTGCAAAAAAAATTAAAAATGACTGCTTTGATTTTATTTTAAAAGTCCAGCCCAGTGCCAGTGGTAGCTTAATTTTATTGGCAGGGCTCTGAAGAAAAAAAAGGGTATTATGACTAGTTGATGAAACCATCTTGTTGTAAAGAAATTTCTATCGTCTAGTTGCTTGGCTGGGATTTGCAAAGGGTACCACTTTGTGCTAAAATTAAACCTTATTGCATTTTCAAATTAATGCAAGAGAATCTCAGTCTCTCAGATAAAGGTTATAGTTCTTAGAAGTTAGAGCATGCACTCAAAATTTCAGAGCTCTGCAGCTGTCTGTACAGTGGTTTCTGGAATGCGTAAAAAAGGCAGTTTTTGAGTTGCCATCCATGTTCAGTTGTGTGGTAAGCGGAAGTTACCTGGTCTGTACTGTTAGTGCTTCACTTTCTTTAGTGATCTCATGACAAGTTGTGTTATGCAATTCCTTCCCCTTTCAGTTCATTTTTCAAAGTTTAGTCATTTACTGCTTATAATTGATTAGCAAGGACAATTTTGCACCCAGGCCCTGATCTACTTGCTAGTGAAATTTGTCAAGTGAGTTAGTCAGCCTGGGGCCTAGGCTGCTTCCTACAGCCCTGTTGTCCTAGCCTAATCTACTTTATTTATCAACTTGCTTAGTTAAGTGCTAGTCAGCCTATGGTCACCATTTCACCGTTACAAGGACTTTGTTACATGAAATTGTTTACTAGCAGTTGCATGTGCACCTACCCCATTCTGCTGGTACAATTACAAGCACCATACCTTGCAGGCACAATGAGACTGTTTTGGCACAAGACAAGATGGGATGAAACAAGACGAGGCACAAGCAAGACACAAGACAAGACTAGATACAAAATAAAACACAAGACAATACATGAGAAAATTTATGAGACCAGACATAAGATAAGACAAGACACAAGATGAGACCTGACCTGATCAGTATTTAATATTATTATTAATATTAATTATTATTATAATTAATTTATTAATACTTATTTATTAATTGAATCAATAATATTATTAATATAGAATATTTGCTAACATTTATTATTATTAGTTAATATTTAGTATCAGTATTAATATTAATTTATAATATTATTATCAAGCATAAATTTTCTTTGTTTATTTTATTTAATTTCACATTTTTAAGCCCACTTATGGTGCCAAAACAATGAAAATGAAATTTATTCTGTCCAATTCTGCCTATAGGAGAAATTATAACATTCATGTCTATCAGTTGCACTCTATTCCCCCACCCCACAGACAGAAAGATGTGCCAGGTGCGCAGGAATTCATGTCTTCAATTTATCAATCTTGTGGTGTACAGTAATGTCAAGAAAAAAAAATTTGCCATGCACTGTTACTAAGTATAGGTAGTTTAAACATGGGTGCGTGGCAACAACAATCCTGCCCAATCCTGTGCAGTCCTGCGCTGTATTGAGATATTTCTGCTAAAACTGCACGTATCGTTGGTTTTAGGAAGCCCATTTTGCATGGGAATATTCCCCAAAAACTGAAATCTTCCTGAGAGTGGGCCTCACCCACCTGCAGTCAAAGTCTCCGCCAAAATGTTTTATTCTAGTTGGAATAGATAGCCTACAACAAAAGCTTTCTAATGGTGCACAAATATTTGCAGTTGACTCATAGGAAGCCTAGAAATGATAAGTTACAATATTTTGAATACATTTTTCATTTTACATTCCATGGACGGCAACCCTTGGCCATAAGCCCTCTAAAAATGGCACAAAGATGGCATCTGTAGGCAGGTGGTTGCATTTGTACAAGGTTCTGGTTAAAAATTGTCATCTTATGGTATTGGGTTCTGCTGAAGGTGATAACATACAGTTTACAGTTGGGGGTAGAATTCCCGGTATTCTGAATGGAGTATCTGATGATAGGAAGGAGGCTGATTTAGCTGCTGGCTAGGTTGTTGTGGATCTTTCAAAATATGGTAAGCCAAGTATGCCTTTGTCTATCTTGCAACGTTTCAGACTGTGAAGTATGACACAACATAGGTCAAGGATGCTGAATTCATTGTTCTTATGGCACAGTGGTTTAATCAAGGTGGACAGTGGTTGCCAATTATGCTTCTCCATAGATTGCAATTTATAATCATTATGGCCAATGTGCAATGATTGGCATGCATGTAGTGCATTATGATCAATGTGGCTGTTGCATGATGACTGGGACAAATGTATGCACATATTGATTAATATGGTCAATGTACATTGATCATCACAGATGTAAGTGCATTACAAACAATATAACAGATTTAGGAACAGTAGCACAAACTTGCCTGCATTATGAATGCAGAGGGTGAGAGATACCAATAATTTAAACAAGCCAGAGATATATGCACTGATAAGTTCAGAGATAGTTTGTGAAAAGTTATGAACCCTTATTCAAGGTCAAGATGACCATATCTCAGGCTGAAAGGCCATGCTTGAAGGCAATGTTGGCCATCCAAGGTCATGGATCATGTTTGGAAATCCTTGTGGAAATGATGCTAGACCCAGCACACTTCTCCATGTTGCTCTCTTTTTGCTCTGATGAATTTGCATGCAATCCTAACTTTTTGTCTGACAAAGCTTAGGGGTACAGTTTGCCTTGGCTTTGTTAGAAATATGGGGCCCCCTATCAGCTCCTTGCTGAGTGCAGCCACAAGGTACTTCTGACCAATAAACAAATTTTACCAGCTCAAAGTTACATTATAAATGACTGCCTATTACTCACCCTTGAATAGATATAATATTTTTATAAACATGTAAACATATATTGGATTGAAAACTGGACTTTTAAACTGTTAAAGTTACCAGGTTATAAAATTGATCTTAAGCATATGAACCATCCTTACAATTCTGCCTTAACCAGTAACCACTAGAATGACTAATTCTTAGTCCATTTTATGATTCATTTATGATTGAGATGAAAATATTATTTTTTATTATATTATATCCTTGATATTACTACGTTTTTCTTAGCTCGCTTTCGTGTCTGTGATGATCAAATCTTGCAATCGATATTTCACCAACTTTCCCGCTAGCTAGCGCTCTGAAACTTTTAGGGAAGCTCAGCTCCCGATAACAATACAGTTATCAATAATTTGTTGCACGTTTCCAGGCGTATAAACTCTATTAACAACAGTAAATAACAAAATTTGCTCAAATCAGATATATTAGCAATGCACTTATCAAATGTTCAATTAACCATCATATTCATCATATCAATTAATCACCAAACAATTAAATACATATGCGCCCCCAACGTTTTTCGTTTTAGATGTTGTAAAATATTTAAACTGAAATACAAAAGACCAAGAGAATGAAAGCAAACAGAGATCAGTAGCTGCCGAAAAATTATTTTCTACTTTTTAGTAAACATGAAAAACGTGGTCTTTAAAAATTTTTTTTATACATGTTATTTATATATTATTATTTATTATTAAGGCTCCAGGATGCCCTTGACAACAATGTAACCCCAAACTATATGATGCAACAGCCCTTGCAAAAAAGTGAGAGTTCTCCAAGAATCTAGTGTGATCTGTAAATTTTGCTTCAGAGAATGTTGTAGACTTCATTATTTGGGCTACCTTGTATATATACATAGTATACCGGTATACCTCATCTACTGTCAGGTTGATGAGGTTTAAAATTTTTAGATTGTATTATTTAATCTATCATACTTTTTTATGTATTTCTATTTCCACAGATATGCAAAGATTTTTATTTTTATTTTTTTTTGATTAGTGCAATCTGGTCTATGAGTTAAGAATGATCTGAAATTGTGTAATTATAGTATGATCAGTACTGAAACAACATGCCAAATTTAGCCAAACCAGGTGATAAATGTACTTTTTGCCTGGACTCTTCCAGCGATGATTACAAAATGGGTCAACTTTATGCCTTGAATTCATCCTCTGCCTTTCATCATTACTGCTTGGTAAGGTCATAATGCCTGTGATGTGAAAAAAATTACATTTAATTGTATGTTAATTTTTGTCTTAACAGTGATTTGTTTGATGAAACTTAAAATATGGAAGCCATAGTATTATTTCTAATCCAATTGATATTTTGAATAAAAATGTCCTTATTTTGCTAGATAAAGCCTTGTCATGATGTTTTATTGAAGTTTCAGTGTATACATGAGCATAGTCAGTCAGTTGCATTTAAATATATGCTTTCATTTACTTCCATGCAATGCTTATTGCCAAGTTATTTAGAAAATCCTGGTATGATAGAATCCTTACATTGTCTTTGAGGGTCTCATTTTGAGCATACTTTCAATTTTTTGTAGCTTTTCTCTAGTGGACTCTCTCAAAGGGGTGAAGATGAAGATGGCATTTTTGGCTTTCTCGAAGAAGATATCAAGAAAGAGGTGACCAGAGGCAGGCGGCTGGTAAGTGGTCAGAAGGTAACTAGTTTTAGTTCAATATATCAGCCAATAGTTCATTATGTATAAATGTTGTCTAATTTACTTGCATGACTGAATGGGCTGCAAGAAGAAGATAACTGTTTTGTTCCATAACTATATTGAAATTTCAATTAATTTATTTCAAATGCAATTGAATCTGTCTTGCTAGGATATTTGTCAGCATTATTGAAATTTAAGTTCTTTTTGTTAAAAAAAAATTTTTAGTCAGGAATTGCAATGCATAGCCAGAAATTGCACATCAGATTTCTTACTTGGTAGTATTACTATGCGAGTTCTCAATTATGCTTCAAACAGTTCAGATCTGTTATTATTATTTTTTTTGCAATCAATTTAGATCTGAATGGGAGACCATGAGCAAGGTCATACTATCTGTAAGGTGTGGCAGTCTTAATTCACTGACTGCTTATGCCTTGAAGATTAATTTTAAGACATACTGCCAGGGGTTTCTTCCTTGAATATAGTGGAAGATCTGTCTTAACACTTTAGTGGATGAGTTAGAATATATATAGTCACTTGAAAAGGTAATAATGTGCATTTAAAAAGTACTTTTTAAAGACATCACTTCTAAAGAATTCAGTCTCTCTGATGTTACACACGTACAATGAATTTTTAAATTTATTATCAAATAGTACAAAAATTAATTTTTTAATTTTATTTTTAAAATTAAAAAAAAATTATTTAATAAAATTATTTATACTATTTAATTATTTATTAAAAAAAATTATTTATTCTGTCAACTGATTCATGCTTTGTCCCTGACTTTATGCAAACCTGTGTGAAAAATTTCTGATCGATTGGACTGGTAGAAGTGTATTAAATATTGATTATAATATTTGTAGAAGACAAAATTATTCTTTCATTTTTCTATTGATTTTTTTTTGTAATATAGTCAGATGGGGTAAGACAGGACCGAAATCACTAACAAGCCTGTAGCATCTATACCATGAATAGCTAAAAAACCCTAAACCTATCACAAGGTGTAGTTATGCAATGGGCTTCTAAGCTACAACTCAGATGTTTTGCATCTAACATAGTTTTCTGTACAGATTAAAAAAAGTGAGCTGGTCCCATCTTACCCCACTGGGGTAAGATGGGACCAGGCATGGGGTAAGACAGGACCAACTGGCAATTCTTATATTACGAGGTTTTTAATAAAAGTACAAATCTGATATTCAATATTATCCATCTAGAAACACATTATTTGATTAATCAACCACTTGTTACTGTTTTGTGTTGCGGGAAGTCAACTTTAATATCAGTCACATTGGAGTTTTTGTCACGAGAAAACTTTGTTAAGCATAGTAATAGTGGGTTGGCTTTGGTTCATTGTAGAGCACTGCTAAATGCTTCTTGTATATTCCATTAGTGCCATTGTCTGAAAAATTTATCAAATTGGTAATAAAACCAATGGATAATAACTTGAGTATCAAACATCATGTGTTTTCTTGCTAAATGCATTTGTGGTGCACTTCTTCAAACATAGTTCATGCCCTCTCACAGAGTTGTGATCATAATTATTTTTCATGTTTCACACAGTGATTTTTCCCCCAGCCAATCTTGCACATACTCGTTCTGCAGCTCACCAATGGGAAGAGACATCCCTATTTTCTATATCCATTTGATGCAATTTAAAATAGTGCACTAAATTTCTCTTATTTAAAAAGCTAACAAGTTATAATGAAGTTTGAGCAAAAGATAAAAATTTTGACCAAAATACTCCATGTAGGTACTATACAATAATATATTCATTTAAAAACTATTTTTGATAAACTGTAGGGTAATAGAGGACCATTTGTGAGGTAAGACAGGACCATTTGTGGGGTAAGATAGGACCACTTGTGTGGTAAAACAGGAGCATTTAGCGGTCCTGTCTTACCCCATGTCCGGTCCTTTTTTACCCCATTTTAGAATACATGTCAAGCAGTGATGGTAGCAGGTAGGAATGCCTAGTATGTCTAAAAAGTTGCCTATTACTTGAGGTTACCTGCCTACATCCACAAACCCGTTCAAAAAATTTTTTGTCATTAGACAGAGCTTATTTCCCAAACAGGGCTAACTATTTTGTGACCCTTCTTTACATAGGTTTTCTTAAAAAATTAGCCAGAAATTCATTATTTGCAGAAGAGGGTTGCCACAAACACTGAAATGACAGGCAATAATTGCTCTAACATATTCTTTTGTCAAATTGAATTCAGTGCAATTAGAATGCACACCATGGGCTGGTCCTTTCTTACCCCATGAAGGCTGCGATCCTGTCTTACCCCATTTGACTATATTTAAACTTATATATTCTGTCAATTGATTCATGCATTGTCTCCAACTTTACGCAAGTGTGCAAAATTTCAGATTGATTGGACAGGTAGAAGTGTGTTAAGAGTGTGTGAAGATTTGTAGCAGACAGACAAACAAACAAGAAGTGAAGTTAAAGAGAAGTGTTGTACAAAGTTGAATGCTTGATTGGATGTTTTTGTGATGAGGTTGTGAGGGGTCAGCCCTCTCTGAAGGTTGAGAGTCCAGCTGGTATAGTAGTACCAGCTCATGAAACAAAACAAAACTCAGGAGAACAAACAGAAAAGAACCAAGCAAAAAATATATTGAATAAAATCACTGTTGCATGAAGATGAATGGCGAAAATTAGTGGGTTAGTAATGTGATAACCCAGGGCTATGAGTAATAGGGTGAACCTAGCACAGGAACAATAGAGCCAGTAGCCCAAACTGGATTAAACTGAACAGAACAGAATAAACCAGGATAAACTAAACTGGGCCAGAATAATGATGAGTAAACTAAACATTACAAAGATCATAGGAATAACCAAAGTCTTGAAATTAAGGTCTTGAGTCAGGGCTTGGCTGTGGCAGTCTTCAGGCCAAGGTTTGTGAATGTCTGTGAACAGAGTTCATGAAAACAAGCAGTTGGTGATCTTAACAGTGGCCAGAAGTGGAAGGGACTGAACAGGAACTTTACAGTGGTTACAACAGAGTCTCCAGGATGGATGTAGTGGTCACTACAGAGGCCCAGCACTGGCTTAAAACCTAGCCCAGCAAGGCTCAAGAACCACCAAGGACCCCCAAACTTGCAGGTCCATCAGTCATAGAGCGGTTCTGAACTGGCCCCAAACTGGCACAGAACTCGCTCCAAATTGGCCACTCTGCAAAAGTGAATGAACAATAATTCAAAGCCTATCCACTAATAAAACACTTGAAACACATAAACTTTTATTAATCTACTTAATACAAAACTCTAAAATACAATTTAAAGGGATGGTTTATACAAAAACTTAATAATTACAATTTAGGACTGAGATGTGGGCTGAGAGTATTCCCTTAACTCACCTATTAAATAGCCAATTAAAGCTTTAACAGCAGATCAGTTACAGGTCAGCCATGAAGTCGTCATAGCCAGAAGGCAGGTTCATTTAATGTAGACAGTTAGTCAGCATAAAAGCAGGAGGCCAGACGAGCAAAACTTTCTCATTCAATAACAACCCTTGAAGATGACATAGCACAAAAATCACTTTAACTGGCTATAGTATTCAACTCACTTGAATCACTCTAGTATTCAAACACTAGGGACAATAAAAAGAAAGGATTAATACAAGACAATTAAAACCTCTAACCAATAATTCCTCTGCCTACTTGTGTCCCCCTTACAATGTGAGTGGCTTCCCATCAAATGTTGTTATCCCTCATAAATTAATACTCATGACACATACTAAAACGTGCCTCATTTTACCAATGTAATAATTTGCATTTATTGGCCATTTTTAGATCATTGCATTGTTAAGTTTACTGTTTCTTGTTCCAGCCGTGCTGCTACTGTTCAAAAACGGGAGCAACAGTTGGATGCTCCAACAGGCAATGCCGCCGTTCCTATCACATGCACTGTGCATTGAAAAATAAGGCTCAATTTTCCTTCTTGGGACAGTTTGAGTGAGTATGATTTCTAACCTTTTCAATTTCTTTGTTTTCTTGCCTGTAGGAAACTGATATCAACAGCAAAGCAATTGATCAATGAAGATTCTTATTTGAGTGATTTTTGATGAATGTATTATCATATTGTTAAGCTGGTACCAGACAATTAATGTTATTGCTATTGTTTTTTTTTCAGATATTTTCTCAATTCTAAACCCATTTTATCAAATTATTTCACTGGAGTATTTGTATAATCTCATATATTGTATTTATTTATTGTATTATAATCTCCCACCATGTTACAGGTCATGGTGCAGTGATCACCGCACTTTCCAAATCCTGCCCAGTGAGAGATCAGACTGTCCTATTTGCATGGAGGAGGTGATGCAGGAAGATACTGACAGCGCTGTGTGGGCTCCCTGCTGCCGCAGGAACGATGTTTTCCACAAGATGTGCATGCAGGTACTTTGGAAATATTGCTCTTAATTTCATCTCACTGAGCTTGGATAATTTGTGAAATTTGGGGATTTTTCTTTACTTTTTAAAAGGCAATGACAATGTTGTGAAGTTCAGTCATTTCATTCACTTGACTCTGTGATCAAAATTAAACCTCAATGTAGCTGCATTTGACTATGTTGGTCACACTATGCTTATGGAAAATAAATATGGTGTTTATATTATATATATATCTTTTATATTGGTGGGATGCTCTCGAGACTTCACTTCATGATTTGGTCCCATGAAAATTAGTTTTCTTAGATTTTCAGTGATTTTCAAAGCCTTTACTCATCACTGAATTTTTTGCAAGACCTTTTTATTAAGGTGATGGTTCTACCATTTGAAAAGGAGTAGGCAAAGTTGTATTTTAAATTGGATTTCTTACTTCAAATTCTGCTTTTATCCATTGAATTCTCATGGTTTTAAGCTTTTTTTGTAAAGTAGGTAGAAACCTTACCATTCCTTTTGACTTAATATACAGCTCAAAATGCATAGGCTTCTTATTGGCAATCATCTAGTGGACGCCAGTGATTGCCGAAGCTATTGAGCCCCTAGTCTGCTGGCAATTAAGTTCATAGCAATTGTATAAACCATATTATAAAAAAATATAACTCAGTACTCGCTGCAGTGAGGGACAGAGAACGCATTTTCTTAAAATCGACGAAAAGGTGAAGTCACGGACAGACGGACGGACGGACATGACGAGCACAATAGTGCATTTTTTCCTTAAGTGAGAAAATGTGCTAAAAACGAGTCGACCAATATGCTTGCCTCCAACTAGTAAAGAACTTTCCACCCTATCATGATGCAAGTAAACTCCCCCCCAACCCATTGTGAGTAAACGATTCATGCCTTGATCATTGTCAGAGTGGAATGATTTTTATTACTAAGCACTTTATTATTATTACATTAGTGTATTAAAATTTATTTTGTTCGTTTATTATGTTCACAATGGCAGCGCCAATATATTTTAGGTGCAATTTATTTCTAACAAATATTTTCTCCGCTGTGCAGCGTCTTGCTCTCAGTGCTGGCTACTTCTTCAAGTGTCCGCTGTGTAACGACAAGAATAGGTTCATCTTAACCATGCAAAACTTCGGCATCTACGTTCCTGAACAGTGAGACTCTCAATTTCTATATTCTCATTGAACACGCTATTGCTGTGTTTGAGTATGTAAATAACTTTCTGCGAGGTGAAGGATTGTGAAATCCTCTGTTGATGTTGGAATGATAAAGATAAAGCTTCAAGTTGTTAGCATCAGAATATTCTAACTAATATTATTTGTATTGTTTACTTAACTCAAAAATCGAATTTAGGTTGAAATTAATAAATTATGCCATTTTGTTGGGAATTTTGGAAGATATTGTTTAAAGCTTATTTATTCTGCCCATTCTGCTTTGTATGTTTATGTACCTATTAACCGTTGTCAATGTTGTCTGTATCAGATTAAGCTTGATTAGAGTTACCATCGGTAAACTAAGTTTAGAACAAATTGTGGTTTTGGTCCAATCAATAATGACATGCAAAATCAAGTCATCAGCTGCTTACTTGATTCAGCTTATTTAGGTAAGCCGTCAGTTTGTACTTTTATTTTGATCAGTGTCATGTGAAAAGATACTTGCCCTGACTCAGTCGCCTAAGCAGCTATGGGTAGTTCGTGTAATCTATAAATACTCGTCAAACTTAGCCCTGCTATCCAAATGGTGATAAAACAGTGAATTTTGGATGAAATGTTGCAGTAGCTTGACGAGAATTTGAAGGGTTGATTACAACTATCGAGATATCTTCTCTGTGACGTTAAACCTAATACACCATCTGTGACGTTCAACCTAATACACCATCTGTGACGTGCAGAGATGCCAGCTGGGAGCTCGAGCCCAACGCTTTCAATGATTTGCTGCAACGGCCTGTTGACTGCATGGCTCCAATCTGCATGTGTCCAAATGGCCGCTCCCACAAGGAAGAAAACACGTTAGTGTTAATACTTTCCCTGATTCTAATGAAGAATTTTAATGATTGATCAACTCTAGATTGATATATTCCTTCAATATATTTTTGTATAATTTACTATCTATTAAAATATGGGGATAATTGATCTAGTTCTGGCATTCGTTCATCTCACGCTTCACGTTCTTCAATGGATTTAAATTCAGAACATCTTGTATACAAGAAGCATATCAAGATCTCCCATGTTTTATATTCAATCGGCCATAAAATGGTAGATCCTGCTTTTACCTCTAAAATTATTTTGATAAAATGTTGCCCAAGTATATGTTATATCAAGATATGAAGAGCAGTTTCTCTTACATCACCATGCGTTTATTCATTGTCAAATAAAAATCATGGAATTGGCTCATTGAGAAAGGAATTAAACTTCGCTACATTATCTTCGCCTTTTTGGATGACAAATTTGTTGCAGATGGACATGGACTATTTAAAGCTTCCAGCCGTAATTTACTCAGGAAAACTCCATTTTTTTTATTGTTCTCCATCCGTAAAATCACGTTCGTCAAATCATTGCAGAATGACTGGACCAGTTCCTAATGTAAATATCTTCAAACTTCAGGTCATGGGAGCTGCAGTACTGCCGGTTGTGTGGGTCCCAGGCCATCCACTCACGGTGCCAGCTGTTGGTTGGATGCAACAAACGCGTCTCGTGGCAATGCGTCGAATGCACAACCATGCTTGCCGATAGCGTCACACGTGAACGGACAATTGCAAGAAGCAAAAAGCTTCTTGAACGTACAGAGAACAGCCCCGTTGACTCCGAGCAAAAGTCACAAATTTCAAAGGAAGAAAATGAACTTTATACCAACGAACAAATAACTGCATCTGTGAGTCTGAGCTGCTCAGACCCTGGTACAAGTAATGAACCCAATGATGGAAGCAGTGGATCTACTCCGATCATTTCGAAAATTCCTCAAAACAAAGACCTTTCAATAACCGAGAACAACTCTGTACCCGTTTTATGTGACAGATTTTATTCTACTCGCGAGGTTAAGACAATTAAGCCTAAAAAGAAACCTCGAGTTGATAAGAAGGTTTTGATGAGTAGCTCTGATGTTGAAAAAGCGAATAAAGCAGAGGGTTGCGGTAACTCGACAATTACAGAAGTTGAACAGAAAACTGAGCTAGAGCAACAAAGGCTTGAGAACATTTTAACCCCAACGAAGCCATCCCCATCAACTCACCTACCATTAGAAGAACTCTCTCCTGTGAATAAATTTTCTGCAATTCCTGGAGGTACTGGCAGCACCAGCACTCCTAAGCGTAAAATGCAACTTGGAAGCAATGACATTGATTGCGACAAAGCCCCTAAGCGGTGGACTCCGCGCATAAAAATTTCCAGCAAAATTTCCAAGAAAATCAAGAATGAAACCAACTTGGATGTTTCTTCTATTGATACTGTCGATATTGAGGACGAGGAACCAGTCCACCTAACTCCCACGTCGCTGTCGTCTTCCTCATTTGCTAGCGAGGACGAATCAAAGTTTAGCGGATTCTCGCCCACTGACATGGAACAGAAAGAGAACAAGAGATCTCCGGGTAATTTATTAGGTAAAATTCGGAGCGATGGGATAAAAAAACGACCGAGGAAGAAAGATCTTGTGAAAACGACTCAGGTTAGTATCACGTCATACTTCAATCCAAAGAAGGAATGAACCATGCCACTTCAATCCAAAGAAGGAATGAACCATGCCACTTCTATCTTTTTTATCGTAAGAAAAAAAATCTTTTCTTACATGTTTGCATGCATTTGGTTACCCATGTTTGAATTCGAATGATTTGCTGAATGAGTTCATTTTGTTATGGAGTTTCAAGTTTTATTACATGCGAGTTGATCTGCGCCACTATATAAAAAATTACCTAATTTTCATAGCTGGTCATTTATATTTCTAATAAGAAAGATTATTTCTTGAGAACTCTGTCGCAGGCTCATGGGGGTCATTATTTATTTAAAGACCAACAACCTCTGCCTTCTTCAAGTGTTGTGTCTAATGAGGCACCGAAAATACGGCGCCCACGTACTTACGTTTGTGTGAATTAACATTAAGTCTAAGAAACTATTATTATTATTATATAGTTAGCGTTTCGCAATTAATAATTGCTGTAGCTTTGAGAGGATTGTTTGTTTCTCAAATAGAGCGAATAAAATGACTATCAACTATGATTGATATCATTCCTTTGGGAAAGGTTTCATTGCTGGCATGTTATTTAGTATTCCTAAACCAGTTCACGTGTCAGAAATCAAGCAATTCAAGTGACGATCATGAATCAAGTGTTCTATTTGTGTGATTTTATTTGTGAATATACATGGTAATTTTAATTGTGTCACTACCCTGAAAATTTTCAATTGTGACGAATCATGCTATGATTCCTATGATTTGAAATCCTTCATTCTCTAATTTAAATTCATCAATCACACCCGAGAGTGGGCATAAGACTCTGCAGTCTGCATGAAAGAGCTCAGCCGCCTTAGTCGCTATGGAGTTTTTAGCGCATTTTCTCATTTAGGGAAAAAATGCACTATTGTGCTCGCCATGTCCGTCTGTCTGTCTGGCCGCCCGTCCGTGACCTTAAGTTTTCGTCGACGAGAAATGCGCTCTCTGTCACTCACTGCAGTGAGTACTGAGTTATATTTTTAAACTATTTATAGTTTCAATAACTCCCCTCATAAATAAGATACCAGTCTGAAATTTGGAATGCTATCCTGGCTATATATTTTCAATTCGCTGACCTTGAGATAAATTAAGTAAACTTTTTATTTCAATTGTTATCAGGGAGGATAAAATTTTGCACCCCGATGGTCGTAGAGCGTGTGACATTTCTTGCATTTTCTCGATATACGTCGGTTTAACTATTTATTATTCTCTGATGGCTAACCCAAACATTGCTGAATTTTTATTTTAGTATTAGATATATACACTTGAAGCCCAAAGGCAGGTGAAACTTTCGTAGATTAAAGCACGACCTGACCTTTGGTTGTCATACTCTCTTGCAGGTGCAGGCAGTAAATCTACTGTTCAAGGTAAGCGTGCACTCTTCTTTCCCTGCCCATTTCGCAGTCTGTCTGTGAGCGTCATGGTCGTATATGAGCGTAATTATTTTTTTTAAATATGAAGAGAATGAATACAAAAACGACACAATTTAGTATAAAGTTTTCCATTTGCTACTACATGAACGATTATTTTAATGCACATCTTTGAATGAAATGAGTTAGAGTATAGCATATTAAATTCTATACGTTCATGATTCTATGTAATCATTGGCGTATTCCATTCGATGTAAAAATTTTTAATGTCACAAATTCATTAAATACTGTTGAAAAATGTTCTTAATTTAATGTAATTCTATTCCTGTAAAAAATTGTCAACATCTCTGTCTGCGTCTCTGTACGTCTCAGTCAGTATCTCTGTCAGCATCTCAATCAGCGTCTCTGTTGCGCTTAACATCGTGCTTAGACGACTTGACGACTTCACTACGAGTGTTTTCACTCACCACGCAACCACGTTTACACCACCAAGCCCAGCACCTCGTTTTCATCACCAACCCTAGTCTTCCAATTCACCGGAATCATCATCCTAGAGCAGGTCACGTGAGCATAAGAAAATAAAATCATATTATCAATTGCTGTTAGTATAGTACCTATAGTATAGTATCTTCGGCATTAAATAAATAGCCTAAAATAGGCCTGGATAGGCCTGTCGCCGATTCTTGTACTTTTCTTGACTAGACTGGCCTTACGGACGGTAGATTTAAAATCGCTTCTAGATATCAGATGTTCCGTAGGATACGAGGCATTTTAAGACTGAACATATGCTCATGCATGGCCTTGTCTAGTCTTCAACCGTGTCTTCTCATGCTGTAAGCTTGCTGTTCATTGTTCTTGCCGAGGTGAAGTACTTTACACTTGTCAGCATTGAAACGCAGCTGCCACGTTGTTTATTTTGACCCGACCAATTTCATCCTGCCGCACCTAAAGTTTCCATCTGAATTTAGTGAATATTACAAGTTGCCTTAGCCTCAATTTCCACTGATAGTAGTCAAACAATCATTGAAAGTGGTCGGGCACGTAGCTCCCACAATGGTACGCAGTAGGATTGTGAACGCCTTCAAAATCATAGAAGATACAGTTTCGCAGTAGGATTGCGAACCCCATCATAATCATAGAAGTAAGATAGCCGTATCAGAGATAAATGAACTTCACCATACCTATTGAGAAGGAAGGCATATTCATCGAAAGGAGTTGCTACTTTGCACCTCACCTGTATGTAATATGTACGTCTTGCCTCATTATTAGGAATTTTGTGTATACAAATTTTACGTGTCGAGGACGTTATTCTACTTATTTTCTCGACGTGTTATCGATGCTTAATTTGAAACTTACTTGTGCCCTGAATCCTTGTTTTAAATAAGCTGCATATGACCGGGAGCGCAGCCGTGCATCACCAATTTTGTGCACCAATAAGCCCTGAATCGAACGCCTTGGATCTCTCCTGACCTGCACCAATCAGCCGTGCACCACTCGGCTTTGTCCTCTTCCGGCCTTGACCACCACCTGCCGTGCACCACCAGGCCGCGGATCGAATCTGACTTCCAGGCATCGTTAAATTACTTAATTTTACGTTCACCGCATCTGAGGTTAGGTTTCAGATAGCATAGTTCTGTTCCAAAATTGATCGTCCTTCGACAAGTGGTCGTTCGACCGAGGGCTGGTTCGACCCACGGCCTAGATACGGACGGCTTGAAGTGTTGAAGGCTACGTTCCGGAAGGCAGGAATCATGATGGTCAATTACATCCAGGGCAGTGGTGGTCTTCGGCAGGCGACCCCACCAGACCTCTCACTGCCTTCTCTTACGGTATTTACATTTCGATTACGACCAGTACATGCTAGTGCCGCAGCGTTGCCAAATGGTATATTTCTATACCATATTTCACAAATCTGGTATTTTCAGAAGGTGTATGGTATGTATTTTAGATCTGGTATATTTGCCTAAATCTTGGTATTTTCTAACTTATTGAAAATGTACTGCATTAAGTTCCACCTCTGGAGTTTGAACTTCCTCCAGCGTAGGCCTGGATTATATAGATAATCTTCAGAGCGGCGCGACTAGAGGTTTCCCGCCATTTTTCGAACCGCAAGTTTACCGCTTGATGAAATAACCCAATCTAATTGTTAAGATTTAATGACCTGTCTCCAATGCATTCGTGAAGCGAGTGTTTTCACAAGTCGCCTATGTGAAAAACAAGTAACGAAATGAAATTTCAACTAAGGTACTGGAGTCCATTATTTGGAACAAAAGCTATCTGCTCGGCCGCAACAAGTGATCAAACCCGAAATGTCAGATTAGTGCAATATGCAAGCATGTACGAAAATAATGCAAAACGAAGATGACCTGTTTCCGTGGCTTGCTCATGTTGAGCGAAGGGGAAGAAGTGCCACACTCTGTTGAAAAAAGGAAAAAGTGTCAACGTAATCAAACACAGGAAAAGAAAAGTGTCAAAATGTTCCAAACAGAGTGAAAAAATCAAACGTGTTCAATTTGGCTAATTGTCGTCAAGCCAGCTAAATGCGAAGTATATAAGGTAATTTTTTTTCTAACCAACGTTTCTGACGAATAGTTTCATTAAATTTGGAGGTATTAGTCTATTTTCGAACAATGGAATTTCTGGTATTTTGAGCTGGGCAATCTCAATCTGGTATTCTCGCCAAGAAAAAACCTGGCAACACTGGCTAGTGGTTCCCCGCTACACCGGCATGCCAATTATATATATTCATTTGGCGTTTCAAGAGGGACGTACCTCTTCCTCCAAGCCCCTCCCCAAGTGCTTGAGAGGAGGGTGATTTTAAAGGGCCGAGACGTTTGAATAACAGTCTTCTGTTGTTAGTTTATCAGTTGCGACACTGGTGAGAACATGCGGTTCTCTAGCAAGCCACATAAAAGTCCGAGGCTGGTTCCCTCAGCAAAACGTATAAATAAAGGACTACAATTAAAAAGATGGAGGTAAGATTTGAGGGTACACTCACCCCCCACGCTCACGGCGGCTGTGAGGCTGACTCCTCACCAGTCACCACTGAATGTTGTTTACAATTGTAGCGGGTAGAGGAGAGGATCAAATCATCAGGGACAGGGTGAGCTTGGAGGAAAGAAGAGGCGTTGGATTCCTATAGCCTTTCATTTCTTGACCACTTCCCAGTTCCCAGACTGTTCATTGTTCTTTAAAGTAAGGAAGTATTCCCAACCCTCAAAAAATAAAATAATATCAATGAACAGACTAAATCATTGCCATGAATGACATACCTATAAGTATAAACAGAGGTTTCAGAAAGGATGAGACTATTGTAAAATGAAAACTGTTGTAAAATAAAAAGCGTAGAATAAGCCTGCCTTCAAATTTTTTAAACTTAGGTTTTAGGTATTGAATAATATTATACCTAATACACTTGTTAATAAACTCTGCAATGCATTTCTGTCCCATATATATATGTTATGTGCAGCCTTGCACTGGCATCCACTCGATAGTATCGATACCTGGCCCAATTATTTAAGCAATTAATTCATTCACCAATCCCTCTCTACATTCACCCTTCCTCCACTGCCCTCAATCATCCTCTCCAGTCTCCACCATTGTTTACCGTAAAATGGGGTAACTTAGACCGGCGGGGTAACTTAGACCACTTTCGTTTTTTTAACAAAAACCCCCACAACTCAAAAACTATTTGACATAGAAAAATTTTGTCAATGGGCATTAAAGGCCTAATACTGAGGCTACATAACACAATAGAATGATTTGAAAAGTTTGCATATCTAATAGGTTAAAAAATTAAAAATGTGACCCATCCATCACTTTTTTTGAAATGACATAAAGACTATGAGAGGCAGGAGCCAGCAATTTATGGTGAGTGAAGCTAGAGTATAGACCTGTATTTTGCATGTTTCAATTCAAGTTTAATTTAGCTAGTAAAAAAATGACATCATTTATAAAAAAAAAAGTGGTCTAAGTTACCCCATTTTACGGTACTCACTTTACTGGTTACTGCCCCCACCTTCCTATTCCTCCCCTCAGTCCCCTGGCTGAGCTGGCTCCCCACCAATATCATCCTCTTGAAACTGCAGCCTTCCTTTCCACAGCACGCCTTTCTCTTTGACAGTAGAGGAAGCTCTCAGCTACCTACCTTCCAAAGTAACCAGTGATTATTTTTTGGAAATCATTCAATAAGTGAATAGATTAATGTCACGAATGTAAGTAAATACCTAATGTTATCGACTTGAACTATTGTTTTATGGCTTTCTTCAGTGTGCAAAAATATTTTTGTGCTGGCA